CTATTACAATGCAAAAAAAAAAAAAAGAATTAATAAATGAGGTGTGACGCTTGTTAAAGGACACTCAGGAGATCAATAATGTTTTAAAACTATTTTCTTGTGCCTTTTTGTGAGCATTGTAAACATATGCTGAGCTCACAACACCATTGTAAGACAAATTGGCTGCCCAGTTACACAGACGGATAAGCTGAAGAATGGAGAAACTGAGTAAGTAATGCACAGTTACATGATTGAATGGGGCAGAAAAGAACAGAATCCAGGAGCCGTGATTCCTACTTCTGCATATAACTTGTAGCAAGACTTCTGAGCAAACGGTATGGTGCTAGATATGTTTTCTGACTCTTTCACATACAATAAAATGCAGAACATCCTTTTAAAAGACAGTTACATGCAATATCTAGAATTGTTTAAGGTCGTCTATCCCTATTAGTGTTCAAGTTGTGTAACACCAGCCAGAATATTCAAGAACAAAAAGGCATTTTAAGACAAGTGCCAGCAGGATGTCTTTGTCTTTGCTTCCTGGCTGAGTTTTTATTTTGATTTCTACAAAAAAGTGTCTCTCTGGAATCCTATCTTTTCATGCCAGGTTCTATCTTGGCATAATACTTTTGTGAATGAGATATAATATGCTTTTCATTTCTATAGCTCTTTTTAAACTGAAGATCTCAAAGATCTTTAAAAAATACATCACCTATGTGAGGGAGATATTATTTCCATTTTACAGAGGGAGAGAAATTGACACAGAGAAGATGAAGCTAAAATTTCAGAAGAAGATTCTCTGTTTAGTTGCCTCAGTGCTCAATTTGAGACATCAGAGGTGTGATTTTCAGAGGTGCTCAGCACCCACAACATAATTGAAATCATTTTAGACTGTGGGGGAGCAATGCCTCAGAAAACTGTGCACTGTCAAATTGGCTATCCAAAAATTGCATTACCTAAAAGCAAAGAGGATTTTTGAAAATGTGACTATGTTTTGCCCAGGATCAAAGAGCAAGTAATATCAGAGACAAAGTCAGAACCCAGGTACTCTGATTTCCATTCTCCAGTGTTTGTCACAAGATGTGCAGCTGCGCACATGGATTACTGGTTTGTAACATGATGAGGAATATACAGGAGCCTTAACTCATTGTTAGTCCGATGCCTGTTTTGTGAATATGTTTTTCATTTCTAGGTTTCCAGGGTTTGTTTTCCCATGTCTAGGAGTTCATCCAGTTCAAGGCATTCTTAGCAGGGAGCAGCCGGAAGACCATTGCAGTGTTACTTTAAAGGTGAAATGTGGGCAAGTTACATTAGTATGCTAACAAACTGTTGCTGGGACCAGTTTGGACAAGTGGCAATTTAGCGATACTGGGGTCTGACTGATCTAAAATTTAAATCCAGCCTAAATCATACATTGTTTTTTTACATGTTGCCATTATACGGAAGGGTTGTTGGTTGTAGCCATGTTGGTCTAAGGAGATATGCAGACAAGGTTATTTTGGTAAATGTGGTATCTTTTATTAGACCAACTGAGTAGTTGGAAAAATTGTTCTTTGCAAGCTTTTGGGCACAAACACCCTTTTTCAGGCATAGGGAAAGTCTGGTGGTGTTTTGTGTGCTCTCCTGGGTGGAACGGAAGCCAATATGCAAAACGCAGGTCTGTGAAAATGCAAATGCATGCAAGTGAGGATCAGAGAGAATGGGGGAGAACAGGTGTGAGACAGGTAGGTTGTGGGGGGGAATGTTGAGCTGGCAGGCAGCCATAAATCCAATATGAGCTGGCAGGTTACCAATGCAGGCAGGTTACCTGCGGTTATTAGATGTTAGGTGGGTTATAATGTGCCATAAATCCAATGTGTATACTTAGTCCATGATTTTTTTTGTAACCAGTAGATTTATGAAGTGAAGTTCATGGGCTTGTCTACAAAATGTGTTTTATAAAACTCCTGTGAGGATTAGAACTGATAAATTGGAGAGAGAGTGGTTTTCTTGTGAGAAGTGTGAACCCACAGGTAATTGGGTATTTTTGTCTTTGATAGATTTTCAGTGTGCGTTCATTCTGATGCACAGTTGTTGTTCAGTTTCTCCTACGTATTTTCCATCAGAGCATTTAGTTCACGGGATGAGATATATTACATAGCAGGTTTTAGATTTCTTGTCATGGCACGGTCTGGATCCACTTTGTGTGCTTTGGGCCAGAGGAAGTTTGCTTCTGGTGATGAGGTTGGCAAGGTTCAGTGCTTGTTTAAAGGCCTGGGTGGGTGGTTCTGGAAAGATCTCTTTAAGAAGTGGGTCTTCTTCTAGTATGGGTTACAATTGTTTGAGGATTTTCTGTGTGGGTTCCAGGGAAGGGTGGTATGTCATAAAAAATGGTATGCAATTTGCAGGGATTTTCTTTTTGTACTGCAGCAAATCTTCACATGGTATCCGGGTGGCTCTTTCCAAAATGCATTCTGTCTCTGGAGGAATGTCCTTGTTGGGTGAAGGCCCTTTTGAGAGTTGTGAGGTGATGATCATGGGTGTTCTCCTCAGTGCAAATTCAGTAGTATTGGAGGGTGTGGCTGTATATTACAGATTTCAGGGTATGTTTAGGGTGATTGCTGGTTCTGTGTAGATATGTATGTTGGTCTATGAGTTTTTTGGATATGATGGTTTGTATTTTACCATTCTGGATATTGATCATAGTGTCTAAAAAGGAAATGTTAGTGCTGGAGATTTTAAGAGCTAGTCTGATGGAGGGGTGATGGTTATTGAATTTGTGATGGAAATCAGTCAGAGACGGCAGGTTTTTGTCCAGATGATGAAGGTGTCATCTATATATCTTAGGTATAGCATTGGTTTGATGTTGCAGTTCTTGAGGAATTCTTCCAGGTGGGCTGTAAAAAGGTTGTCATATTGTAAGGCCATTTTGGTGCCCATAGCTGGGCCCATGGTCTGGAGGAAGTGTTGGTTATTGAAACTGAAGTTGTTGTGTGTGAGGATGAAGTGTATAAATTCAGTAATATTTAGGTTTGTATTCTGAGTTGTAATCTTGCTCTTGTAGATATGTAAGGCAGGCTTGGATGCCATGCTGGTGTGGGATGTAAGCTGGTAACATCCATGGTGGCTACAAGGATATTGCTGGGAAGGTGGTCTGTGTTTTTAAGTTTTCATAGGAAGTCTGTTGTATCTTGCACACAACTCGGTCTTTGGGTGATGAGAGGTTTTAGGATTGATTCAATGAAACCTGATATTTCCTTAGTTAGGGTTCCATGGTTGGATATTACAGGTCTGCCTGGGTTCCCCTGTTTGTGGATTTTAGGGAGCATGTAAAAGGATTGGGTAGTGCGGGGATCACGTTTTGTAGTTTTACTTGTAGCTCAGATAGAAATGATGTGATGGTGTGTCACAGGGACACAGGGTTAGACCAGGGGGAAGCCTTGGGCAGAGGCAGACCCCTGGTCAAAGAAAAAGAAAAAAACCCCCACATACCTGCTGCAGGGGCCCGGGGGAGCGAAGAGGCATGCCTCAGAAAACTGCCCAAGTGGTTTATCAGCTGTGCCCATCTCCAGCTGGGGCTGGGTGATGCAACGAGGAGGCGTCACTCAGTGAAGATAAAAGTCAGCCCGGAAAGTGCGGGAAGGGGGACACCGAGGGCTGGAGGACCAGCAGGGAGCCACTGGACGGAGAGCATCCTGCCGCTGCAGTCAGCATCGGCAGCGGCTGCAGGAGCTGTAGAGGATCCCCGAGCCAGGGAAGTCCAGCAGGGATTGAAGACGCTGGAAGGGAGGCTGGCAGCAGCGGTAGCGGTGGAGGCAGCAGGAGCTGCAAAGGATCCCTGTGCCGGAGAAGACCGGCAGGGATCAAAGATGCCAGCAGGGAAGCCAGCAGTGGCGGCGGTGGCAGGAACTGTGGGGAATCCCAGTGCCGGAGAAGCCCAGCGGGGATCAAAAAAGCTGACGGGGAGCCGGCGTGGGAGTACTTACAAAAGGCAATGGGGGCCGTGGCCACAGGGCAGAGGCGGATCCCGGACGGGAAGAAGACGACCCCAGCTGGGGTGAGGCGTGGACCCCAACCCTGAGGGTGTGCTTGCTTAGGAGTGGTAGAGGACCAGGGGAGTACGGGATGCTTCCCGTGTTTCCCGCTTGTCCGTTTTGCCCTTCCCCGTCTCATTGTTCTTGTAGTCGGGGTATCGGTTTTGTTTTTCGCATTGGGTTGCTTCTGAGGCCCGGAGTTTTATGTTGGTGAAGGTATTTTGATTGTGTTTCCCTTTTTCAGGCTGTTCTATTTTAGTTCCCTGTCTAGTTCAGGTTAGCGTAGCCCTCTGTCCCAGGCCGGGGTAGCAGTGACCCCGGTTGAAGGTGGGAAAGAGACCACGAGAGAGCGCAAAGAGGAACAGCAACATCTCCCGTAGCTAGCACTGGGCTTCGGAAGGGACATCTCCAAAGGCAGTGAGTCACCAGACCCTCTGGGTCCAGTCAGAGCCCTAGGTGCCCGTCGGCGAGGAAGGATGTGGGGACCAGGAACATCAACGGGGAATAGCCACTAAAGAGCTTGAGGCTTGTCTAGAAGGTTGGCATATCCGGGGTGTAGGGGAGGTTGGAGCCCCGGAGACATCTGCTGGGACACGTGTCCACTCTGGAGGCACCCTCAAAGGGACCCCCTTCCCTGAGAGACCATCCAAAGTCGTGGCAGGAGAGTTTGGGGGACCCTCGGGTCTACGCGAGGTTCCCTGGCGAACAAGGTTAGCTGCTCGGGCAAAGGCGGCTCGGGAGAAAGCCTTTGAGCGAAGACAGGCACATGGTGTTTTGAGTTTTAAGGTGAAAAGGGGAGTTGGATCTTCCTCTAGTTTTTCGTAGTAGGTGGTGTCCAGGAGTTGTCTGTTGGCTTCTTTTATGTAACCTTCACGGTTAAGGATAACAATAGCTCCTATTTGGTAGTTGTATCTCCCAATGCCTGAAGAAGGGTATTTGTGTCCAAAAGCTTGCAAAGAACAATTTTTCCAACTGTTTTGTTGGTCTAATAAAATATATTACATTTACCCAAAGAACCTTGTCTGCCATTATACAGGAAACACTTTGGACCAAATTTTGAATTTCTTATACTGCTTTGGTAGCACTAAGGAAAAATGCTCACTGAAGTAATTTGGCTGTCTGTTTTTCAGACTTACGGTAAAACACTCTTGAAATTCTGGCTGAATGATCATGCTCACTCTTTTTGGCTGTAATCAGCAACCTCACCGTTCCTTCATTGGCATGGGGAGGGGTAGACTCTGTGTAAGGACAGGTACATATCTGTGTCCATGTCTCACCCATGAGGCATGGGTGACTGTTTACCTTTGATATTCTCAGACTCTAAATATAACTTGTTTTTGCAGTGCTAATTACAGGTTCTGCTTATATTAACATGTACCTTTAATAAAGGAGTTAGAACAGAGCCCTGCAGGGTCTGAAAAACCTTCTCTTTCTACCCAGACATATAGTTGCATTTTCCATGCCCCCTAGATGAGGGATTCTGCAATTTTGTTGAATGGAATTCTTCTCGTCCTGAGGATTATTTATTTAATACTTTCTTTTACAGAGCTTGCCTCTTTCTTTTTTTCTTCTTTTTCACAGGACCTTGATGCTGCATTGCCACTTATAGAACACTATAAAGATAGCTTGTTGGCAATTGGAGAGGTGAGTACAAGTTCTGTGTTTTGTTTAACTCTTTCGTCGCCTGGATCCTCGGAGTTGTAAGCATGTAGGACTTCATTGATTCTATGTACATAAGAAGTAATGCTAACAAGTATAGCAGCTGAAAAGCCTGACCTGTCATTCCAGGCCTAAACATGTTTCCTTTTGTGCTTGTCCCCGATTCCCTACCCGACTCCTGCATACTTTGTAGTGCTAACATTTCAGGTATACGAAAAATATATGTTTACTTCCAAACGTGTCGTTGCACCCCTTCAAATGCTTAAATTGGAAAAGGATATTAACATTCAAACAGCAGTAATGGAATACCCAGAAAAAAGCAACAATATTAGGGAAATCAGTGACAGCATTTTCTATCTTCCCCTCCCTATCATCTTTCCAGTTCCCTCATTTGTTCTTCCCTGATTTTTAGATCGTATGTCTCATTTTTAAAATCTCTGCTTACCCATCTTGGTACTTGAAGCTGCCACTTTCTGTTAAGAATAACTCAAGATACTGAATCAACCACATGAGAAAAGTAAAGTGATAGATCTTAGCAATAAGGGTGAATGGAAAGGTGGAGGCTTTTAAAACTCTCTCATAATAGCTATTTTGATTACAGAATTGTATTCAACAGTCTGGAGTTGATACTAAATATCTTACTTGCATATAACAGTCATGCCAACTTGTGTTGTGAGTGTGTGAGTTAAGCCCGGTCATACAAATCAGTACTTGACTGGGATATCACCACTGAATATTTAGGAGCTGTGGGAAGGAGTGTCTGTAATTCAGTTGGTGATGTCTTATTTCTGACTCAGTACTAAACTGAAGTATGGTACAAAAACACCATACTGCTGGAGGTGTTACTTTAACTCAGACCAAGACCTTGTGTCTTCAGGTCATTACAGATCCACTGGCAGTTTTCATTACAGGTGTTAACCTGGCCAAAGTCCTGGTTAGCTTCTTGTGCTCCGTTTACTTATATTGTTTCAGCCATTTTGTTGGGTTGGGATTCTTTCACTTTGTAATGTGCCCTTATGTGCTGTAGTGATTTCAGGGTTGTTTAACTAGTGCTTGGAAGGTTTTTGTTATTTCTTTCTATGGATTCTTCAGTGTTTTTTAAAAAAAATTACATATGTCAGTTATTTGAGGCTCAGGACATTCTGTGAGGTAGGCAAGGAATACAGGTCCAGGGGTTTAATTTGTGATCATCTTTGAGCAATCCTTAGAGTTAGGCAAAGGGCACAGACAGAAGTGCAGCTCCCCACTGTTTGCAGGAAGTGCCATGAGTTACAGCGATCCCCCAGATCCAACAGACATTCACTGTTGGGTCCTGGGTGTTGGGGGATCAAGCTGCGGTTTAGAGCAGCTCTGAGTCTGCAGCCACTCTCCCCTAACCCCCCTGCCCCCAGGCCTGGCACTGTGTTCAGAATGGGAGGTGGGGGAGAGAGTGGAGGGAAAATGGTCTGGGAGTTGCCCAGCCAGCATTGAGGGTGGGGCAGGTGTATTGGAGCCCCTCGGATTGAAAAGCTATTTCTTTTATGTAATTTACTGCAGTTTTGTATGTTGTCAAATCTGCAAAATTTTATTTCTCCTCTTATACACTGTAGGTTGGACTAGATTTCACTCCTAGATTTGCCAGCACCGACGAACAGAAGGAGGAACAAAGACAAGTCTTGATCAAGCAGATTCAATTAGCGAAAAGACTGGATTTGCCTTTGTAGGTCTCATTTATTTTGGCAGAATACTGTTTCAGAAAAGACCTAAAATCAGATTTGTCAGCATTTCTAGTTATTAAGGAGTCTGAAGCATCGCTTAAAATGTAGAGAGATTAGATTTATCAACCTTCCCAATTTTTAAGAAGACAGTTGAATTCTAGCTACTTAAAATTCATTGTGAAGTCTCAGTTGAATTTGTACTCTTCATTACCACCTATCCTCGACTGTATTGCTGTATTTTCATTGTTTGTTTATATTCTCATAAAGTTATACGGGGTCTTTCTTGGTGCCATAAACGTTTAAATTACTCTTTTCTTTCTTGCCAAATTGCTGTCAAGTCAGTGAATCTTATGAAAACATATTCCACTTAATTTCCTAATACTGGATTTTTTTGCCTTCTACAGAAATGTCCATTCACGGTCAGCTGGAAGACCAACTATTAACCTTTTAAAAGAACAAGGTACAATTTTGGATTTATTTCATGCCGTTAACAATTACAGGTGTCTTTATACAAAGTTTGTTTAGCTTTACCATATCTAGCTAAGCATCATGCATATATGAGTTTGTGTATGCAAAACCTGGAAGGCTTGTTATAGAAATCCTGAAAATTTGGTCTTCACCATACTATTTTTCTGAATTGCATGATTTACAGTTTGTTTAAAGAACTCTTCATTTTGCCTTAGTTACTGACAGCTTTCTTGTTCATATTCACCTTTTCTTACATTTATATCTGTGCTTTCAAAGTTAACATTTTGAGAATCTGAAATGCCCTTTTATTTCCTTCCGCATTGGAGATTTTAAATACTTTTTGAGTAATATACAGCAAGTAAGAGATTTGATGCTTCTGCAACCCAATTTGTCTCGTATTTACTTGATCCTACAATAAGATGTTCCCCCTCCATTTAACATGGGAATGGGGGGAGCCCCTCATCTTAGAATTATGCAGGAGGGCAGTGGGGAGGCAGGCAGCTGCTGTGGCTCTGGCTCCAGCTCCTACCTAGAGTTGGGGCTGTAGCTGCAGCTGGAGTTGCTGTGTGCCCCCTCACCACCTGCCATCTCCCCCCTGCAGCCTCTTCTCCACATTTCTCCTGCCCAGCGCAGTCTGTGCTCCTCCACCTACACTTCTCCCTCCCCCACTTACCTTTGCTCTGCATTGGCAGGCTTCACAGACGCTTCAGCCTGGGGCCCTGAACATGGTTGCAGCCTAGCTCCATAGCAGTGATGCGCAGCCTAAACAGCTTCTATGCAGGCCAGGCTGGGACTGTGCTCAGTGCCCCAAGTTAGAATGGGAACAGAGCTAGCATAGAGCAAAGGTAAGCGGGGAACTAGAGAACAGTGGCTGGGAGGAGGCAGGAGTGGGGAAGCAGAGGGGCTGGGTGGAGGGGGGAAGCAGAGAGGTTGGGGGAGAGGGAAGGGGGAACAGAGAGGCTGGGAAAGAGTTTAGGGAGGAATAGGGAGTAGAGAGGTGGGGGGGATGGGGAAGAAGGGGCCTGAGGTTTTGGGGAGGGGCAGGAGGGAAAGCAGGGGTAGAGGTTGGAGGCAGGGCCTGAAGCTGAGGGAGTGGGGTGACAGGCACAAGCAGGGGGTAAAATACTTGATCTCCCCACCTGCCCCCTAACCCCCACTGCCTGCCCTCATGCAGCAGTGGGGGAGATAAATTAAAGATGACCCTCCAGTAATTGTACTCATGGAAAATTATAACAGATTTCTAAATTTTCCATGTATAGAATATAATTATTGTGGGGAGGGGGGCTTGTCTTATATTCAGGGTCATCTTAGATTTGAGTAAACACAGGAATTATTATTAAACTCTAGAATCTCTTGCTGTGCCTGAGACAAAGATCAAAGGTATCAGTTAAATAGGCATTAATTAATGAGTGTACATTAGTAGATACCTGTCTGTTGAGGTACCATATCCTGCATTGGCATGGCAATAGAGATGATGGTATAGTTGGTTTGTTCGTCTCTTATCTAGTGCTGTACTCACTTTACTTAATTGGAGCAAGGACTTTCACAGATAAGAAAGTAGAATAATGGCTACTGTTGTTTGTCTCTCTTACATTAGAATTATTGTGCTAGCTTTTGGTAGAAGCTCCTTGGTCCCATTGTGCTTTCCAGAGACTGCAGTACTATCACAAAAACAGTTAGAAATGTTTGCGTTGTGCTCTCTACTTTTCACTCTCTGGTCCTGTCAGCAGAGAGGTACCTTTCAGATCCAGTCATGTTGCCCAATAGAGATCTTCTGCCTCTTGTATCTGGTTCTATTCCACACCTAAATCCTCCAACTTGTCAGTCTGGTACCACAAGCACCTGCTGTGCTGGAATGACTGTTTGCTCTACAGGAACAGTTCTGACTATTTTTCTTTGTAGCACTGGGACTATGATTTCATTGGGACTAGGGTGCTCTCACTGGGAGCTGACATCACAGTGCCATCATGAATGTAATTATTTAATTGGTTTGGGTCTGTGTAGGTGCTGAAAAGGTGTTGCTCCATGCATTTGATGGAAGGCCATCTGTGGCGATGGAAGGAGTGAAGGCTGGATATTTCTTTTCCATTCCTCCTTGCATTATAAGGAGTGAACAGGTAAAACTAAAATAATAGTCCTGTCTCAGGGATTAGGGATTCACAACTTATCACAGTGAGAAAATACTACATTTGCTATAGTGATTAAAAAAAAAAAGAAAAACAAGAAAACCCATGATAGCTTTTGAAGTCTGAAATATATGAAGAATTACAGGTGGTTCTGGTAGTGCCACCCGTTATTAAGGTTTCTGGATAAGTCTCTTTATAAGGTCCTGTTTCAGTTGCTTATAATTTTGCCAAACTTTAACTATTTGGGCTAAAAATTTCCAATTTCCATTCAGCTTGGTGTCTGCTCAGCTAAAGTAGTTGAACTGTTTGGTGGATGAATCTAGGACTGATGTTATTTTTGGCACATTAAAGAATTATTTTATTTAGAAGGTCATGTGTTGGAACAGGAAACTTCACAGTGGATTGGCCTTTCTGTCAGGGACATGTCTTTGCTGTTCTATTACACTCTAAATTGGCCAAGTTACAAACCTTTGGAAAATCACAGCTAGAGATTTCTTATTTTGTAGCTGGCAAATTGCTGGAAGACTCTGCCTACAGTGAGCTTGCTTCTGCCTAAGGCTAAGCAGGACTTTCTCTGTAATCGTACTCTGGACTTTTGCAAGCTGTTTAGAATCCAGATTTGGGCATCTAAACTAAGACTGGATACAGTATCATTCCTGTGCTTTCAGTGACACTTTTTCTGTGGCCAGGCAGCACAGAGAAAACGAGTTGAGTCTAGTACAGGCGGGACAGAGATTGGATAGTGGCACTGGGGGATGGAAGGGAGAACAAATATTATGTGAGTGGACCCTAATACATATGCCCAAGGGGGCCAAATCCAGGCAGTCTTGGTTCTGTTTTTCCCCTAACATTTGTATACTCACCTGACTTCATAGCATGGTTGTTTCCTATGTGTTGATTTCTTGTGTCCTTGATTAGTTAGATAATACCCCTGTGTTCCAATATGGATGGGACTCTGCCTTTTCTTGTTGACTTGATTACTCTTGGCTATTTTCCTTAGGTTTAAGTGAATCAGATATTTAATGAGTTTTTCTTTTTGTTTTTTAAGAAGCAAAACCTTGTGAAACAGTTGCCTTTAGAAAATATGTGCTTAGAAACCGACTCTCCTGCTCTAGGCCCTGAAAAACAGGTACATTATTGATTCTCTACTTCTTCATTTCCCCAAAAATGTGGCTTACGAAAGCCAGAAACAGAGGGTGAAATTTGAGCAAAGGCAAGACAGAGACAATATTGTTAGATGATATTTGAAAAAAGGTGACATGCTAATGAAGCAGATAGATCTGGGAAGCCAGCAGTGAAGAGGAATATTGCCAAGGAAAAGCAACTGCAGGATAGGATAGAGAAGAGACTGGTGAATGATGAGCAAAAATAGCAATTGCCTATGGGATCTATCCATTGTACAGCTGCAACGACTTCTTTGCCCCCATTTTCCTGAGCAGGGACCAGACGAACCCCCGCACCGGGCCTCCTTCAGGCCCCAGGGGAGGCGCACCTAGGCCATGGGTCAGGGAGGATCTAGTCAGGGAACTTCTGGAGGGACTGGATGTATTTAAATCAGCTGGTCTGGATGATCTCCACCCCAGAGTGCTGAGGGAATTAGCTGATGTCATTGCGGGACACCTGGCATGGCTTTACGAGCACTTGTGGTGCTCTGGTGTGGTGCCAGAGGACTGGAAGAGGGCCA